AGTACCATATCCAGTTTGCTTTGATATTTTGTTTTTTATTCCATGTTGAAGTTGAACACCAAGCTCCAGATATAGCAGGCAGCTTGATCATCTTCGGCCTTGGTATAATATCAGTCCAAGTTCCAGTGGTGGGTATCTTCTAATATTCAAATTAAAATGAAAAGCAATAGGCTTTCTCAGCGCTGACGACGGATTTCACGTTGATAAGAAAGGGAGCTCAAGGTCAGCAAAACTCGGGTTCAAGGAATGGCGGGCGTTGAAATGACTGCTGACGTCATCAAAGAAACCGCTAATGGTTAAGAGATAGGGACTAAGCTGGTCCCACCCTGCAAGTAAAGGGAAGAAATTTCTTGAACACCATAAAGCTGCGGGGGTTGCGACCAGGATAAATGGTGGTTTCTGAGCCTGGCCGCAAACTTGGCTATCTCAACTCAAAACTAATGTTAAGGTGGGATGGTCCCTTTAAAGCTCGTCGACTTTAAATACGGAAAAATATACATAGTGAATGCATGTCCCCGACAAGATGTATGCATGCGCGCCGGTGGCTCTCAAACTACGTAAAGCGGGCGTAGTGAATATATTCCTGTGGTGAAACAGAATAGTATTATCGTCGTACTTTGTCGGTGTACTTTTCCAAAGTACACCAAGAATATATTCACTTGGTGAAATCGGGCCCTGGTCGTTCGTGTTATGAGAAATGGCCTGGTCGTGCGAGGGTTAATTGCTACCCCTGCGCTTTCACAGCGGATCGGATCGGCCGAATTTCAAACCAAAGCACAGCATCAGCCAGTGCATAACCCGTAGTAACTACGTGAAAACATCCGAGATGTGACCTCGTTTGACCCCGGCGAGGCAAAAGGACAAAATATAGAAAAACGAGATCCTCTGCGAGGCATCCCGGATTCAGCCGAGAACCAAGGCCCTGTATACCCAGAACCCATAATGAACAGGACAAATTGTAAGCAATGAGAGATTTTGCTTGATGATAATGTCATTGACTCCTTTTTACTCTGCGTTGCGAGTTCGGCATCCACAGCAGTGCGCAGCTTTACAAAAACAACTTTGCCAAATGTTGCTTTTGTATACCTAGTCAAAGGTATCTGATCGATATCTAACGGACAAATGTGTGAACAACTATACTCTTCCCTTTTGATTAGGAATTAGTGATGTCAATTTCAGAAATTTTGGAAACCAATACCAAACCGATACCGACCAAAACCACTGAGAGTATACCAAAACCGAACCGATTTTCAGAAATAGGGTGAAATACCGACTAGGTACCGAATTCAGGGAATCATGAAACAAGTGCTTCAAACTTTCTCAAAACAAATGATAAGCATTGAAAGGTACCTAATACTTTAGAATAAGGCAACAAAAACAAGTCAGGAAATCTCTAAATTATTTGCAATGCAAAAATATAACTGTATTGTGTAACTATTAACAAATATTCAGGTCAGTTACCTGGGATGTGGATTCAAGTCATCTGGATGAGGTGATAGGACAAGAACTTGAACCCTGAATCTCATCCATCTGATCCATGCCTGAACCATCAAACGTCCTTTCAGTTCGTCATTCAATTTGAGTCCAGTCAAGACAGGGTTACATGTGGTATCATGATCCAAAAATGGTAACCAAATGACAGTGATGGGCTGGGCTACACCATTAATGTAAACAAAATCCATGATACCTACAGTTCAACTCAAGTAGCAATGGTGACGATAGTGACGCAGCCAATTTTTCATCATAAACAAACGTTTAACACAACAAATCTTGATAAATAATTACTTACGAGGCACACTGATAGATAGCAGACACCACTGTAATGATATCGCGATGAAAGCTAAGTAAAATGTCCATAATTTTACATAATCATTTACACGTGTCACGTGGCATCTCTTTCACAATGGCAGCCTTGCAGGCGGCGGCCATACGAAACGCACGGAACTGCATAAAATAAAGTTTTCCTTTTTTACACTTCGTACACTTAATTTAGAAATATGATGTTCATATTTTGGTATCTTAAAATTAATTCAAGAAAGATTGAAGGCCGCTATTGCTAAAAAATGAAGAACCAGAAAAACAAATTTGCTCAATTATTTTCGATTAGTTGTTGAGCTACATCGGGTTTTGGCGCAGCTGCGACATTTAAAAGTTTTTAGATGTGTTCAGTTTTAAAACTGCTATTTGCGATTCAAGCCAACACCCAATTATATTTTAGAAATGCTTTTGATTACATTGCTAGCGATTTCTATCTGTTGAGGAGAGCAGGAAAGAGAACACTAATTAAAAGAAATAAATTATCCACAGGATTTTTTTTTAAGTTGACTGCGAAGTTGAGAATTTGTGGAATGTTGCGAATGTGGGATGATGATGAAGTGATAAATGCTGCCTTCAATATTAGATGATAATGGTGAAGCTAGTGCTATAAAAAACAAGGTTTTGATTTTTGGATAATGTAACTGCATTGCAGTGAAACGGAGAGCAAGACAAGGTCAAGATCAATCACAGACTCCTCAAAACAAAGTCAAATTTGTTACTAATGAAAGCTTTGGAAATTTTGAGTACCTAAGGTAGTTAAAGTGTGTTTTCCAGTATACAGTGAGTTAAACATTGATACATGTTTATGTCTTGCACATTAGCTTTTTTGTAAGATAATTATCCTCATGGTGTTGGAATTTGCTAGTACTGATAAGTTGCCATTTAACATTCGTAGACTGATGTGTTTGATGTTACAGTTAATGTGTTTGCCCATTTGTTATGACATCATGCATTTGGGAGAAATGTGTCATGATTGTCCTTTTTCTTCATCCAATGTCATTTAGCAAATCAAATTTGAGTTCAGAAGGTTTATCAAAAATGTTTTCAATTTTTTATGACAGTAGTTGACTTTCATAATACCGACAAAATACCAAATGCTTTTAGTATAAAATACCGAATACCGAATCGGTATTGGTTGCCCATTTGTTATGACATTGGTTCGGTATCGGTATACCGAAATATTGGTAACCGATTGACACCACTATTAGGAATCATATGCCGGGTCGAATCACTGGGTTATTTTCATTTTCTCTCACGCCTCAAAGCGAAACGTATGCCTGGATCACAGGCTGAATTCCCTCGGAAGCTCTCGCCCCCCGATACAAGCCAAGGCAGATACAGTCCGTCTGGTGACTGCTGTTCATCATCCAGAGACCTGGTGGGAGTGGACCGGGCGGCCCCCGCCGAAGTTAGTTGGTAGCACTGATGCTCCACGGCGTACATTTCCTACCAGCCCATAGGGTTTACATGTAAAATGGCCTGTTCTCGGCGAGCGATATCTCGGTCAACCTTTGAAGGAATCAATGGTTCTTAGTCTCAAATGATAGATCGATGAATTTTCTTTCGACAATTCCTCTACCATTTTTCACGAAACCCAGCCGATCTTCTACGGCGTACAGGGTAAAGATTTCTCTGCACGCCAGCACCCGCGATCCGCCTCTCCGAACGTCAGCGCGCGGTCCTCGGTAGCGCAGTCGGTAGCGTATCGGGCTACGGATCCGAGGGTCGTGAGTTCGAATCCTGGGAGCGCCGTGTGATTTCGGCTAGAATTGAATGATGTAGAATCATGAATGTTTGCGTAATCAATTATTAATAGCTAATTGAATGTATCTGCGCACTAATCGGCCCCTAAAACCTGTTATTTAAGAAATTTAAGAAATGAATGTCACGTGCGCGTCACGACTGCCAACCATAAGCGCTACCATATTCTAGTTTGAACTAACTTTTTGCTAGTTTCGACCACATATAGTAGGTTTTCTAGTAGTTATACTAGAAATTCCTACCAAAGTTCGTCCTACCCTTCACTCAATATACCCTGGGACCGGGACCCTCGTGATCCCAGAGAATACACTTCTTCAAGGTGACGGTCGCTCCTGAGGACTATTCGTGTGCCTCTACGCTGACACTCTGCACAGGGAACACTTACAACCAAGGCGCTAGCGCTACCGTCAAAAGACAAACAATCTTCGCCAGCACAAACTGGATAGAAGTTTGACGAAGGCTTCTGGAGGTGGGTTATTTATTGTCAAATGTGACGGCGGTGACCGTAAGTTTCAGCTTGATCTGAGGTAGAGGCGGAGATTACAGGGTGTTCCTATATACAGGGTGTTCGCGAAAATGTCATTCCTTTTGCTTCCTGGAGGACCCTTGTCAAAGATAAGCGAATGCAGTTTTCCACATTCAATCTATATTATGAATTTTAAAGGAATTCAAAAGTTTCGTTAATTGTTTCATGTGCGTTTTATTTACTTTGTTCTAACATGCTGCTCTCTACAGACCACAAAACAAAAATAGTGAAATGTTACTAGGAAACGCAGTCAATCGGGACCGTGCTGCCCGAAGTGGAACAAAAGACCCCCATCCAGCCTATTGAACCGTAGACATGCTGCTTGGACCAGGTACAAAACAGTCAGGGCTGAGCTCGGGCGAAAGTCACCTGGTGCAATAGCTGCCTATGCTTCCTTCCGGACAATTAACCGCAGTGTGAGAGGTTTTTCTGTTGCTAGCCAAGCATCTTATGACCTAACCCTGGTGAACCAAGCTAGAGATTGTCCCAAATTACTACACTCCTATATCCGTGACAAGAAGACTGGTCGCCCAACTCAAGATTCTTACAGATAAGGTTGGGACGCCATCACGTGATCGTTTTTCTGCTTTTCCCAACCCTACTCACGATTTTCATAAGCCTTGATTTATTCCTTGCACAGAGTCGTTTGTAGTTATTTTATATACAAAAACTAATTCAATGATATTTGAAATTAACAGATTTTACTCGCAGTCTCAAACAAAAGTTGAATTTATTCGGGTTTCATTAATTTAATCAGCTGGCAACCATCACCCATCGTCCTCGATGTAGTCGAACCTGGCGCACTCGGAGAGTGTTCGAAATTTGTGACGCTTACTTGTTGCTATGGCGACCGGGCAACACCTACTGTAGGCGGCGCCGCTGCGGCGCGCGGTGGAACGGGGGTGCGTGCTCCCAGTCGTGCGCCGCTCCGCTCAAGCCGGCTCGCTCTTCTCTCTGCCCCGGTTGCCTCCCCGCTCTGCCTGCCTGGAGAGCCGGGACGGCCGGGACTACCTCCCCTCGGTTTGCGAGTAGCATCGCCCATGGTCCTAGAGGTGGACATTTTCGTATGGCTTTTACTCTGTTTGTACTTGATTTTGCTGTACTTTGCGTTTTTCCGTTGTATCATTTGTACTATGTTGATTGTCGTAAACGACCAATTTGAAATGTATCGCGTGATTATTTGCTAGTTTGAATATTCGATGGCTCATTGTTCGTTGGCGTATTGTTAGAAGGCAATTTCTGCAATACTTCTCAGTACTCGTTTGCTGTGTGACGTGCCACCCGGCTCTATGCCCGGCCATAATTCTGGATCATTCGCGCTGATGGCGGCAGAGGCGGTCGTGTCGTGTCTGTGTTTGCGCGAGCGATGGTAAGTGGCTGAGCAGTTGTATTTCACTATGATGCATTTAAATGTGTGATCTGTTAGCTCGTATAGATATTCTGTTGTCAATTTCATATAAGGCGTTTCAGCGCCAATATGATTAAAACCGAGACTATGATACTTTGCACTAAGGTAAACGACAATGGACCTGACTGGTGTCTGGATTCGTAGATATGGCGTCGGAGATGTGAGGCTGGCTTGGAAGGATGCCTCTGGATGTATGGACGTTAGCCGCGAAGCGACCCAGAAGGCACATTTGTCGGTAGGTCACGAAATGTCACGAATATTAGGAAAGGTCACGAAATGTCACGAATGTTAGGAAAGGTCACGAAATGTCACGAATGTTAAGAAAGGTCACGATTAATTTGATGTCAGTACGCAGGGATGCTGTGTTATCTGTGGTAGGGCCCCTCACGGCCTGTTTTGGTGCATCATTTATTGGTACGTTTAAGCCCTCTTTGTTTGCCCACCCCTTACGTTTATTTATTGTACGCTTGGTAACGCTTATTTATACGTCTTTTGATTTGTGTATTGTGTTTCGTTCCCAGCAACGACTGTTACTCTCGAGATCGTGTGGGCTATCCACTCAGCTCACTCGGTCCAATAAACGGTCCGTTAAGACATACTGGATTTCGACACGCTGGGTCTGGAGATGCGGCTACAGTTGCGACAAGTGTCGACAACGGCGACGAGCTGCCCACGGCAGAGTAGCGACTTCTGCAGCTACGCGTGAGGGCAGCTAGACCACCCACCGGGAGGACCTCGCAGCACGCTCACACCGGCTGGTGGCTCTGCTGGCCTCGTGAGGTGGCTGGTTTGCTGCTGCTGACTGGTGCTGGTGAGGACTGAGTCGCCCCTGCTCATCAGTGAGTGCTCTACTTCTGCTGATATTTGGGGTAAGCAGGCTGTATGGTACTTGCAGTGGCGCAGTGACATTCTGATAAACGGTTCACAAAACAGTGACTCTGGAGGCAAACTGGTGATCGAATGTGAACTATCTTGCAAAGTGTGTGCCTTCATGGTAAATGAGTCGAAGAGAACAGTATCTGAGAAGTGACAGACACTTAGTGCATCAGTGTGTGACCATTTATTGTGCTGTGAGTTATGCTGAGTATGGTTTCCATTGTGTTTGTGTTCGCTGATCTACTAAGGGGTTAAGGACAACCTGTTGATTGATAGAGATTCCAGGATAGCATTGTTGCTGGTTAGTTCCAGTTTCCAGAAGAGCTTTCTAATTTGATTTGTGGTAGTTGGTTGTGCCCAGGCTCGGTCACGAGATGGATACGCTCGGCAAACTAAGGGTTCATCAGCTGAAGGCTGAGCTGTCGAGAAGAGGTGAAGATAGTAGAGGACCTAAGGCGGTGCTGGTGAATCGTCTGGAAGACATCCTGATAGGGGAAGGCGTTGATTTGGCAACATTTGTCACAGAGTTTGGTAGATCCGAACGCACTGATCGTGTAGGCGGTGTAGGATTTGATGGTCAGGCTGGTGAAGGAGCTCCGCCGCTAGATGTTCCGGAAGAGCTAGACAGAGCGGGTGTCCGTAGTCGTGAAGTCGCTCCAGGCCAGGAGGCTGGTAGGTCGCTCTCTGTTGACCACTTTGATGCGTCTGGTACCAGGCCTGGCGTTGGAAGCCCTGCTGAATCGGTGAAGTCATCCCGTTCTTCGTCAACAAGGGCATCAAGCAAGGCCACAGTTGCTTCAGAACGGGCCTTCGAGGCAGCAAGAAGAGCGGGACTGCATGCTAAGGCAGCAGCGTTGAGGAAAAAGCATGAGCTCGAAGACATGCAAGAGCAGTTGAGAAGAAGGAAAGAGGAACTGGAAATTCAAGCTGAACTGGATGAAAGCCTGGCAAGGGAAGGTGTATTGGCTCAGTTTGATAAGGAAGAAACCTTCAAGAGGATTGAGACATTAACGCCACAAGAACAAGAAAGCAGAGCACAAGAACAAGAAGAAAGAAGAACACAAGAACAAGAAGAAAGAACAACACAAGAACAAGAAGAAAGAAGGACACAAGAAGAAGAAGACGAAGAAAGAGCACATGATCAAAGAAGAACGCGTGTTCAAGAAAGAGCACAAGAACCAAGAAGAACACGTGTACAAGAAGAAAGAGCACAAGAACCAAGAAGAACACGTGTACAAGAAGAAAGAGCACAAGATCCAAGAACACGTGTACAAGAAGAAAGAGCACAAGAACCAAGAAGAACACGTGTACAAGAAGAAAGAGCACAAGATCCAAGAACACGTGTACAAGAAGAAAGAGCACATGATCAAAGAAGAACGCGTGTTCAAGAAAGAGCACAAGAACCAAGAAGAACACGTGTACAAGAAGAAAGAGCACAAGAACCAAGAAGAACACGTGTACAAGAAGAAAGAGCACAAGATCCAAGAACACGTGTACAAGAAGAAAGAGCACAAGATCCAAGAACACGTGTACAAGAAGAAAGAGCACAAGATCCAAGAACACGTGTACAAGAAGAAAGAGCACAAGAACCAAGAAGGACACGAGTACAAGAAGAAAGAGCATACGAACAAGGAAGAAAAGCACAAAATCAAGAAAGTGAACGAAGGAGAGCAAGCAGGGATGAGCCTGGAGCTCAGCAGCACGGGGACTCCACACAGGCTCTCCTAGCCCATCTGGAAAGAAGTCAGCTGCCCAAGGCTGAGATACCGATATTCACTGGAGACGTTACGAAGTACAGATCTTTTATACGTGCATTCGACAGTCGGATCTCCTCCAAAACTGATGACGACGAAGAAAAGCTGTACTTTCTCGAGCAATATACAAGTGGTAAGCCACAGGACATAATCAGGGGCTGCCTGCACATGACGACTGGATCGGGCTACCTGGAAGCCAGGAGACTCCTTGATCGGAGGTACGGAGACGAGGACTCAATCACGAGCGCGTTTGTGGATATGCTTGTGGAGTGGCCACAAGTAAAACCAGGAGATCTGGAAGGAATGGATCGTTTGTCACTGACGCTGAGGTCTTGCAACAACGTAATGAGTGGAATATCACCCGGAGCAAGGGAGACAGACCACCCAAAGACCATGCGGAAAATCATCGAGAAGCTGCCCTACAACCTGCAGGACCAGTGGCGCCGCCTAGCGGACCATATCCATGAACAGGAGCACAGACGAGCGCGCTTTGAGGATATCGTCGACTTTGTCGAGAGAGAAGTAAGGATCCAGACGAACCCGATGTTTGGTCGTCAGCACAATGTCAGCAGGACAAGAGAACAGGAAGGTCAGCGGAGAAAGGTTCAAACTGTATCGGCAACAGTCATCGAGCCAGGAGCTCAGCAGCGGCGGGGATCGCTCAAGTGTTTGTTCTGTTCAAAGGCACATTACCTCGACCAATGTGAAGAGTTCAGAGGAAGGGCACCTCATGAGAAGAGTGCCTTCGTCAGAGAGCAGGGACTTTGTTTTGGGTGCCTCTGCAAGGGTCACCTGGTGAGGGAATGTGCGAAAAGGAGAACCTGCTCAATCTGCAGACTCCGTCATCCAACAGCACTGCACAACGACAGACCACCGCCAGAGCACGGTGTTCGAATCGTCTCTGACGGCCATGCAGGTAGTGAAGTGCCGCAGAACCCGAGTCAAGTCGTAACAAATGGCAGAGTGAAGCTGAGGAGCTCTTCCAAGACGTGTGCTGACTCGTCATCTACTATGATGTCTATCGTACCCGTGAAGATGTGGACTGATGGTGGCCAGAAAGTAGAGACGTACGCGTTTCTTGACGGAGGCAGTTCAGCGACGTTCTGCTCGGAGTCTTTGCTGAAGCAGATCGGAGCTGTTGGCGAAAACGTTAAGCTCTCAATGACTACCGCGTCAGTTGACAATCAGCAAGTGGACAGTCGTGTGATAAAGGGAGTCAAGATATCGGATCTGGGTGGAAGTACGTGCATTGCGATGCCTCCGATGTACACTCTCAGCACAATTCCAGTGAAACTAGAAGACATGGCGTCAAGCGAGGATCTAAACCAGTGGGTTCACTTGCAGGGCATTGATTTGGCGCGGATCGATGCTGAAATTGGTCTCCTGATAGGTAGCAACTGTCCTCAGGCGCTCCAGCCGCTAGAGGTAAGACGAAGTGAAGATGGTGGGCCGTTCGCGCTTCGGACTGAGTTAGGATGGGTGGTGCAGGGCCCAAGACGCGTTTGTCAGAACGAGAACGACAGAGTAAGAGTGAATCGTATCAGGGTTGTCAAGGAGAGCTCCGATCTCCATCGCAGTTTCATGGCTTTGTACAACCAGGATTTCGAAGACCATGGTAGTGCTGTGGACGTCGGTCTGTCTAGAGAGGACCAGCAGTGGCTCAAGAAGGTGGAGACTGGAGTGCGCTTCATCAACGGGCACTACGAGTTACCAGTCCCCCTCAGAGACGAGCAGGTGTTTCCTAACAACAGACAGCAAGCAGAGCAGCGCGCCCAAGGTCTAAAGAAGCGGATGATGCGTGATGAGAAGTATCTGAGGGACTACAGCAGGTTCGTCAGCGAGCTGATTGAGAAGGACTACGCGGAAAAGGTGTCCAGAGAGAGTTTGGACGCCTGCTGGGGTAGAACGTGGTATATTCCACACCACGGTGTCTACCACCCAGCGAAACCGGACAAAATCAGAGTAGTTTATGACTGCTCAGCGAGCTACCGAGGTGTGTCTCTCAACGATCGACTGCTTCAGGGGCCCAACTTGACCAGCTCGCTTATCGGAGTGCTGCTGCGGTTCCGTCAGGAACCCTTCGCCATCATGGGAGATGTTGAAAAGATGTTCTACCAAGTTCGAGTTGCTGACAGAGACAGAAGTCTGTTACGATTCCTCTGGTGGCCCGACGGGGACTTATCTCGACAGTTGGAAGACTACCAAATGAACGTTCACCTGTTTGGTGCGACGTCGTCGCCATTCTGCGCGAACTTCGCGCTGCGAAGGACGGCTCAGGACTACGGAGGGCTGTATCAACCGGAGGTAGCAAGGTGCATACAGAGGAACTTCTACGTTGACGACTTTCTCAAGTCTGCGTCAACTGAGGACGAAGCAGCAGGGCTCGCGCTGGAAGTTCGTGAGTGCTGTGCCAGAGGAGGTTTCAGGTTAACGGGTTTTGTCAGCAACAGCTCAAGGGTGATGTCATGTCTCCCTGAAACAGATCGTGCTCCGAGTCACAAAATGGACCTCACTAAAGGTGTAATGTCTCCGCAGAGAGCTCTAGGAGTACAGTGGGATGTCGATCATGACACACTCAGCTTCAGAGTGGAGGTACAGCGTGGTCCAGCCTCGAGGAGAGGAATCTTGTCCACTGTGAGTGCCATGTATGACCCCTTGGGATTTGGAGCTCCATTTTTGTTGCCAGCAAAAGTGTTGCTTCAGGACCTGTGCAGATTACAGCTGGGTTGGGATGATCCAATTCCCTACTCTCATCTCCAGCGGTGGAATCAGTGGTGTGAAGAGCTTGCAGACCTTAGAGATTTTTCCGTTCCGAGAAGCGTCGCCCCACTGCATGGTGAGGCTCGGAGTCGCCAGCTGCACATGTTCGCAGATGCGAGTGAAGTCGGGTATGGAGCAGTTGGGTACGTTCGAGTAGAGGACGCTGCGGGAAGGATTACGACATCCCTACTGATGAGCAAGTGCCGTGTAGCCCCATTGAAGACCTGCTCCATCCCTCGCCTGGAGTTGACGGCTGCCGCTCTGGCAGTACAATTGAGCACTCAAATACTCTCCGAGACAGATCTGCATTTCGATGAGGTGTGTTTTTGGACCGATAGCGTCTCAACGCTCCGCTACATACAGAACGTCACATCTCGCTTCCAGACGTTCGTGGCCAACAAGTTAGCAGTCATCCATGATGGCTCAAGTCCTAACCAGTGGCGATACGTCCCTTCAGAGCTGAATCCGGCAGACAGCTTATCCCGTGGTCAGTCAGGACCAGCGTTTCTTGCATCTCGCTGGGTTCTTGGCCCAGCGTTCCTCGAGAGCGCCGCCTGTGAATGGCCGGATCAGTCACAAGTCCAACAGCTTCAGGGCAGTACAGAGGAGCTTGAGATCAAGAAAAGCGTAGTCAGCGCCACCACAGCTACAGAAGGTAATGACTACACTGCACAGCTGCTGAACAGCACAAGTGACTGGTTCAAGCTGAAGAAACGTGTCGCATGGGTGCTTCGGTGGAAGCAGCTGCTGCAGAAGAGAGTAGCCGGCAGGAAGGAGTCCGGTACACGTGATGAAGATCTTCTTTCACCTAGGCTGTCCGTACAAGAACTTGAGATGGCAGAAGCTGCGATTCTGAGACATGTTCAAGAACAGGCGTTTCCTGAAGAAATGTCCGGTTCAGTGAGGAAGTCGAGCCGTTTGTTCCGTCTGAATCCTTGTGTGGTTGACGGAACTCTACGAGTCGGAGGACGGCTCGTAAACGCTCAGATTCCAGACGCTGCAAAACATCAGCTGATTCTTCCCAAGAATGGTCACGTCACTGACCTCATTATACGGGACATGCACGAGAGAAAGGGACATTCTGGAAGGGAACATGTCCTGGCTGAGTTGCGCCGAAGGTTCTGGATTGTGTCTGGAAGCTCTGCAGTACGCAGAGTTCTGTCAAGATGCGTTAGATGTCGAAAGATTCAGGGTTCGGTGGTGACACAGCAGATGTCGAACCTACCGGAAGACAGAACGGCGCCAGAAGGTGGAGTTTTCAGTCGAGTTGGGACCGATTATTTTGGTCCGTTCTATGTCAAGGTGGGACGAAAGCAGATGAAGAGATATTGTGTGCTTTTCACGTGTCTCGCAACTCGGGCTATTCACATCGAGGTGTGCGAAACCCTAGATACAAGCTCTTTCATTAATGCTCTTCGCAGATTCCAGGCTCGGAGAGGTCAAGTGAAGTTTATCAGGTCTGACAATGGGACGAATTTCACAGGCGCTGAGAGAGAGCTGAGAGAAGAAGTCCGCAAGCTGCAAGAGAAAAGCGTTCATGACTGCTTACTGAAGGAGGGGATCACGTGGAAGTTCACCCCTCCAGGTGCCTCATCGCAAGGAGGTATATGGGAGAGACAAGTTCGGAGCATCAGGAAAGTCCTGAATGCGCTCCTCAGGGAGCAGACGATGACTGACGAGTCGCTCCGCACGCTTCTATGCGAAGTGGAGGCTGTGCTCAACAGTAGACCTCTAACGACGGTATCAAGTGACCCAGCTGATCTGCAGCCTCTCACCCCCAACGACCTGCTACTACTGCGTGGTGGTCCGGTGCCAGACGGCATCTTCAGCGAGAGGGACAGCTGCTTTGGTCGAAGGTGGAAGCAGGTGCAATATCTCGCCGACCTGTTTTGGAAGCGTTGGGTAAAGGAATACCTGCCACTTCTTCAGCAGCGCCAGAAGTGGGTCAGAACACGGAAGAACCTCTCTGTTGGTGACGTTGTTTTGGTCGTTGACGTTAACAGCCCGCGATGTCGATGGCCTCTTGGACGCGTATTGGAGGTGTTTCCGGACAGCGAGGGTCTTGTGCGTTCCGCTATGGTGAAAACGGCAAGCAGCGTCTTGAAGAGGCCGATCTCGAAGTTAGTGTTTCTCATGTAGAATAAGTAATGTGACGCACATGGTGCGCACATGGGGGCGGGTGTAGGCGGCGCCGCTGCGGCGCGCGGTGGAACGGGGGTGCGTGCTCCCAGTCGTGCGCCGCTCCGCTCAAGCCGGCTCGCTCTTCTCTCTGCCCCGGTTGCCTCCCCGCTCTGCCTGCCTGGAGAGCCGGGACGGCCGGGACTACCTCCCCTCGGTTTGCGAGTAGCATCGCCCATGGTCCTAGAGGTGGACATTTTCGTATGGCTTTTACTCTGTTTGTACTTGATTTTGCTGTACTTTGCGTTTTTCCGTTGTATCATTTGTACTATGTTGATTGTCGTAAACGACCAATTTGAAATGTATCGCGTGATTATTTGCTAGTTTGAATATTCGATGGCTCATTGTTCGTTGGCGTATTGTTAGAAGGCAATTTCTGCAATACTTCTCAGTACTCGTTTGCTGTGTGACGTGCCACCCGGCTCTATGCCCGGCCATAATTCTGGATCATTCGCGCTGATGGCGGCAGAGGCGGTCGTGTCGTGTCTGTGTTTGCGCGAGCGATGGTAAGTGGCTGAGCAGTTGTATTTCACTATGATGCATTTAAATGTGTGATCTGTTAGCTCGTATAGATATTCTGTTGTCAATTTCATATAAGGCGTTTCAGCGCCAATATGATTAAAACCGAGACTATGATACTTTGCACTAAGGTAAACGACAATGGACCTGACTGGTGTCTGGATTCGTAGATATGGCGTCGGAGATGTGAGGCTGGCTTGGAAGGATGCCTCTGGATGTATGGACGTTAGCCGCGAAGCGACCCAGAAGGCACATTTGTCGGTAGGTCACGAAATGTCACGAATATTAGGAAAGGTCACGAAATGTCACGAATGTTAGGAAAGGTCACGAAATGTCACGAATGTTAAGAAAGGTCACGATTAATTTGATGTCAGTACGCAGGGATGCTGTGTTATCTGTGGTAGGGCCCCTCACGGCCTGTTTTGGTGCATCATTTATTGGTACGTTTAAGCCCTCTTTGTTTGCCCACCCCTTACGTTTATTTATTGTACGCTTGGTAACGCTTATTTATACGTCTTTTGATTTGTGTATTGTGTTTCGTTCCCAGCAACGACTGTTACTCTCGAGATCGTGTGGGCTATCCACTCAGCTCACTCGGTCCAATAAACGGTCCGTTAAGACATACTGGATTTCGACACGCTGGGTCTGGAGATGCGGCTACACCTACGCTTTTCATTCGTCAACAAGTGCTTGCGGTCACATATTTGAACACAGTCTTTATGCGTCAGTTTGTGTGACGCGTCATATCTGAAACATATTTCGTGAGGCTCCAAAACCATTCAATTCATCTCCTTGAAAAGAAGTGTTTTTTTTTTAACATTTTCGATATCTTTTTTGGGCTTCATTGCTAGCTCCATTCATCCTGTCTTGTGTGGAGATAGTCATCACTCGGGGACCAGTCGTTGAAAGCAAGAAACAACGACGAGGAGAAGGTCTTGTAAAAAGTCACAGCGATTGTATTGAGCATTAAATGACGAAAATATTTTTACCCCCCACCGCCTCAGGCGATCACGTGCTGTCACCCATCTGGCCCAACTGTTGGCCCCATCAGGTTATGCTCTGGCGAACTTACTGACGATCCTAGAGACATGGCTGAAGCATTTGCTTCATCTTTCTCCTCGGTGTACACCAAGGAAGCCCTCAAACAACCCGCCCCCCACCAGACCTATAATGGTTACATGGGCATCAGGCCCATGTCACTCCACTTTTGATGACATCATAAGGGGGCCTCATGACAATAATGGCGCGGTGCGCCACAATCGCTTCAAAGCTACTTGCCAACAGTTGCCATTTTTGAAAATATTATTTTGAAATAAAGTTACATGTAATAAAATTATTGTAATAAAGTTGTTGATTAAATCGATACCATATCTAAAAACTTACTAAAAAATGATTTATTCATAGTAAAAATATAAGCTTGATGCGTTTTTACATTGCTTTCCTGCCTGCAACTGCAAAGGATTTTTTAAATCGTCTATATCTTCAAAACCGGCCATTTCTTAGCATATTGCTGCTCTTTTTTATCGCTAGAAAATTAGTTGGACTTTCCAATGACATCAACGGTTGAGCGATATGTGTAGAGTGTCACCGACAATTTTCAAATGAAGGGAATGGAGCACCACTTGCGAGCATCAGGGGTGACGTCACTCAGGATCTGTCTCTGATTGGTCGGCGGGGGAGTGACTGTACCTTCTATAGATGGCCTTGATGGGCATGGTTCAGGGTATATTGAGTGACGGGTAGGACGAACTTTGGTAGGCATTTCTAGTATATCTACTAGAAAACCTACTATATGTGGTCGGGACTTGCAAAAAGTTAGTTCAAACTAGAATATGGTAACGCTTATGGTCGGCAGTTGTGACGCGCACGTGACATTCATTTCTTAAATTTCTAAAATAACAGGTTTTAGGGGCCGATTAGTGGGCAGATACATTCCATTAGCTATTCATAATTGATTATGCAAACATTCAAGAATCTACATCATTCGATTCTAGCCGAAATCACGCGGCGCTCCCAGGATTCGAACTCACGACCCTCGGATCCGTAGCCCGATACGCTACCGACTGCGCTACCGAGGACCGCGCGCCGACGATCGGAGAGGCGGATCGCGGGTGCTGGCGTGCAGAGAAATCTTTACCCTGTACGCCGTAGAAGATGGGCTGGGTTTCGTGAAAAATGGTAGAGGAATTGTCGAAAGAAAATTCATCGATCTATCATTTGAGACTAAGAACCATTGATTCCTTCAAAGGTTGACCGAGATATCGCTCGCTGAAAACAGGCCATTTAACATGTAAACCCTATGGGCTGGTAGGAAATGTACGCCGTGGAGCAGCAGTGCTACCAACGAACTTCGGCGGGGGCCGGGCATGGTTACCTTTTCACAGAACCGAGTCCTGAAGGCCCTCCAGCTCCTTGTAGGTTGTCAGCGGATGCATTGGCCCTGATGTAGGTTGTCAGGGCCAATGCATCCGCTGGCCCTGACAACCTACATCCTACTTTACTCAAGCGTTGTGCTACTTTTCTGGCCTATCCTCTTCTTACTGTTTTTATCCGAGCTTACCTTGAAGGCAACCAGGGGTGTAACTTTATGATATTGTCAGGGGGGGGGGGGCTCAGCAGTCAGCAGCAAAACTTTCCATATTGGGGGTGTCTGTACCAGGGGTAGCCAGTAACAGTTGGTAGCATTAGGCCAAATGGGCGCTCAAAAACTACTACCCCATAGGGTTTCCATGTTAAATCGACCTTTTTCAAGCGAGCCTCACACGTAAGCTTAAAGATAAAGTGCCAATATTATTGTGGGGAAAGGTAGCCTCAAGCTTCCTCTACAACCTTTTTATCTAGCATTTTTCGATGCAGAGGCCATAACAGGTCCAAAAAGCATTGGGCGCTGCCCGAGGTACTAAAAGCCCCTCCATGAGAGCCCAAGTTCCTGCGCATGCGCACATTGCATCAACCCTGTACTGGCGTACATTAGTGATACTGCTCACGGACTCGGTCAGCCAATCAGCGTCCCCGATTGCATTAATAGATGTCGCTAGCATCACGTAAATCCTGCTTGCGAACACATTTTAAGAATGAAACAGCTGCGCCATTTCCGCCTTCCATTGATTCCTTCCATCTTAGTATCAACTATACGCTTTTCAACTAACTTTAGACTAAGTTTTAAACTATGGTCAGTATGTTATTTCTGGTACATATAATATAAAAATAACTGCTTTATGAATTTGGCTTTACTCGTCAGAATAGAATACTCTATTTTTTCCATATTCAAAAAATATATCACCTACCATGTATCTTATCCAGGCAAAATGGGCGCTTTCCGCGTCGTTGGTGTACCCGTTGTTCTATATACCCTGGTCTGTACGTACCTACCTACGGGTTTTCGACAGGGGGGACGGATCGGCCGGCTAAAAACTTAAACCTATAGATATTGTTACTGTACTTCTTCAGGCCGATGCACTATATGTCTAATGGTATGGGCCAAATCATAGATCTCTGTATACAGAACTCTATGGGCAAATGCCTACACAGTACAGTCTGAAATGTTTACAATTACATGTGCCACCAGTCTGATAGGTAATGCCGTAGATCACTACATATATACCTATATACGATAATAGTGGTCTATGGTAGTGCATATACAATTATACATGCCTGCGTCTGTGTGTGAGGGTACTTAATCACATGCTTGATGAGGGTGCTTAACGAGGTTCACAACTCACGATCTGTTTTTGACTCGAATATGAATTGATATGAATTGGCGGCGCGAAGCGCCGCCGAAAATTGGCAAAATCACTTGGCAAAACAGCTCTAAAACATGACTTGCAGCCTGTGTAACAAGTTTGATGCCAGAGCACCTAAGATCTGATCACCAAGTCAAGTGGCCTTGCATATAAAAAACTGAGGCCCTTTCAACCGTATAGCTTATATCCTAGAAGTTTGAGTTTGTTTTAAACTGCTCAGCACTCAGCAGTGCGTAAGGAATCGAAATCCGGCAAGTTTTTGGAAATTGAAGAAACTTTTATGGATATCCCCATTCTGTAGCGTCCAGGACCGCTTTCTGGATCCGCCTGCACTGGTCAAGAAACATTCAGTTCAAAGAAAAAGGCTCATACCACAAGTCAGTAGTTTACCGTGCTGTGGGTTTTAGGAGGCATATACCTGTTGTCAATGGTACAGTAAGAGTCGATCGATCGACTCTGCAGCACTGCACAGTAATGTAAAGGTAACGGAGCAAGCAATTCGTGTAATTCGGATTTTATATCTGTGATCTTACGAAGCCCGAAGGGACAATGGAGAAGTAAGCAGGAAATAAAAAATGGCCTAGGCATTGTTGGAGGGACCCATTTGTTCGGAGCAGTCGATCGCTTTTTGAGAATCTTTTTATCTCAGCCTCTGAAATAATGGGACGCCCTCACGACGGTGAAGCTGACTGAAACTCAACCCAGGCGCAGGTTTAACCACCGATCCACATCTACCCAGTAGCGGCGGACACTTTCATTTAAGGGGGGGGGGGCACTGCCGACTTTTGGTCCCATTCTTTCCATGCAACGCCCATGGGGCTCATGTTAACCCTCGCCCGTATGGGGGGGGGGGGTCGAACGGACGAAACGAACCCTTCGGTTTTTTGCGAATACTCGCGTAAACAGCGGCCGATCGCGACGAAACTTTCAGTACCCTCGCGTTAATCAATTTTACACCTACCTACCCTGAAAATTTCATGACTCTTGTCCAAATGACCTTTGACCTGTGACCTACTTTTCGAGACCATGTTTGGCCGGAATCGCGATTCAGCGCATGTCGACTCGCATTAGCCGCGCGTTTGCAGTCTTTTCGTGGTTTTAAGCGTTCAACATGGGATATGATGTGGCTCCCATGCATTAGGGTGGATGTCAAGGTCACCGGAAGGTCAAGTCAGGTCATTGACCCTTGATTACCTCGGTTCACTTTTTCGAGTTTTACATGGTTCTAGACTAGATGCATTTAGGCCAGGTCGGGTCGGGTCGGGTCAGGTCAGGTCAAGTGAAGTCAACCAGTAAAACCTGCCAGGTATTCGTAGTAGGTGTCAACCGCCTCTGACAGCTTCGTAACATATAAGGAAGGCACCAAAACTACTTCGTAAATGTTCATATGGTTGCCAAATTCCAATTTAGCTCCAAAAACTAACCTAGAAACATGTAAAACTTGAAAAAGTGAACCGAGGTCATCAAAGGTCAATGACCTGACCTGACCTTCAGGTGACCTTCAAACCCACCTTAATGCATTGGGAGCCACATCATATCACATGTTTGAACGCTTGAAACCACGAAAAGACTGCAAACGCGCGGCTAATGCGAGCCGACATACGCCGAATCGCGATTCCGATTTCCGACCAAGCATGGTCTCGAAAAGTAGGGCACAGGTTAAAGGTCATTTGAGTCAGGGTCATGAAATTTTCAAGGTCGGTGTAAAATTGAATAACGCGAGGGTACTCAAAGTGTCGTTGCGATCGGACGCTTTTTACGCGAGTTATTCGCGAAAAACTGAGGGGGTCCGTTCGACCTCCTCCCCACTATACGGGCGAGGGTGTTAAGTCCATGATCATCCCCCAACCTGGAAACTCATGTATATGGTGGAAAAT